ATAAAATTAAAAATAAAAAGACCCCTCCTTTAAAAAAAGATTTTACTTATTTATTTTTAGAGAGAGGGGAAATAAGGGAGAAAAAAGGGAGAGAAATATTAATGTGTGGTTGCCTCTCACACACTCCCTGCTGGGGACCTGACCTGCAACCCAGACATGTGCCCTGACTGGGAATTGAACTGGTAACCCTTTGGTTTGTAGACCAGTGCTCTGTCTACTGAGCCACACCAGAAAGGGCAGATTCTCTGAATTTCTTAATATACATCAGGGCTCCTATTATACTTTCTTATAGGAGTCCATTGCCTTTTTATTTTCCATATAACTTATTACAGCCCACAATTATTTATTTGTATAGTTGGTTTGTTTAATGTAAGATCTGCTTAAACAAGGTATTTGATCCAGGAAGTCAAATACCGTATCTATTTTACTTATAACTATATCCCCAGAATCTGGCATAGTGCCTAGCATGGCATTGGGTCTTAATTTAGACTTATTTTTTTCATGGATAAATGAACAAATAATTATAAATCAAGTGATAGCATCAATATCCCATGTAATTTTATCCTATTTTTCTTTAAGAAATTCTATGATTAATATTTTGGCCCTCTTCCTTTCTCACTCCTAAGATTTTTGCATTACTTAACTTGGACTTTGGGGCTCATTACCCTTGAGACTCAGTAAATATTTTCAGTCCCAAACTACCTTACATGTATGTTCAGCATGCCTTGATGTGTATTAACTTTATTCAGTGATTGGAGTCATGACATGCTTACTTTTAATAATTATTTAGAAATCTACACTTAATGTGCTAACAGATATGCTTTCAACACACCCAAGTCATTTACTGGAGTCATTTACCAAGTCGTTTAGGAAGAAGACATTGCCTGTGTCTTCTTCATGAGGAGATTATTTCCTTTCCAAATTATGGAGAATGTGTTTTAGCCAAAGTACAATAGGCTAAAGAGCCTTCTTTAACTCCTCCATCATAATTATTTTCTGTCACTAACTAAGCAAAGTAGCACATGCAGTGACTAGATGAGAATGCCAGAATTACACTGCTTTCCAGCACTGGATCCTTCCTCGTACAAATTTTACATGCCTAAAGAAAGCTGCTTTTGGGGTAACAGGAAGCCTGTGAATGCACCATAGGGAATGCCAGCTGAATATTGTCATTCTCTTTCTACACATTTACAAGGGGGCATAGGCGATGAGAAACGCTGTCATCATTCCCATCTCTTTCTGAGTTATGAAGAGTAGCTCTACTTCTTGCTTTAATGTTACGCATGCAACATTTCTCTATACACAATCTTCTGATATGTCAGTTTAACTAGTTTTAAAGATTTGGCTAGGAAAACCTTCTCCATCTGCACCCCAAGTGTGTGTGTATGTATTTGGATACATGTGGCTTCACAAAATGAGACTTGGAACTACCCAAATTGTGAGAAACTAAAGGCTTTCACTGGGAGAAGGATAAGAGGATAGGTTTTATTCTAAGCATGTCAGTAGTAAAATAAACCAAATTAAAATTCAAAGAGATTGAACAGCAATTAAAATAAAAAAAAATCCAAAGAGAATTGCCCTGGCCAGGTATCTCAGTGGTTGGTTAGAGCATCCTCCTGATGTGCCAGGTTGTGGATTTGATCCTTGGTTAGGGCACATACCAGGATGAACCAACGAATGAATAGATAGGTGGGAAAACAAATCTATGTTTTTCTCTCCCTCTCTCTCTCAAGTCTATCAATAAAAAATAATTTAAAATATCCAAACAGAAGACCATGTCAGAAGAAGACCATGCTAGAGAAAAGAAAGCTAAGTAATTTTTTGTTAGGTTGAAAAATATTTTCAATATCTAGAAAGATAGTTTTGATGTTCATGTGTAATTGTTCTCTTTATAAATGAGACAAATATTGAATAATATAAATAAATTAAATATTTGATAATAAAAATTTATGTTCAAAACAAAAAAAGCATAATGGATAGAAGATATATATGATGTACAACATTAAATTGCCTGACTGGGTGAGACTTTGCTGAAAAACAGCATTCATGTAAAACTCTGAATTATGTTAACTAGTTATTTTAAATTTGAGTTTCTTTTACTTAATTAAGTGGAAAATGTTAATAAATGTCAGAGCTGCCCTGGCTGATATAGCTTAGAGGTTGAGTGCCAGCCTGTGAATCAAAGGGTCACTGGTTTCATTCTCAGTCTAGGGCACATGCTGGGGTTGTGGGACAGGTCCCTAGTAGGGAGCGTGCAAGAGGCAACCACACACTGATGTTCCTCTACCTCTCTTTCTCCCTGCCTTCTCTGTGTAAAAATAAAATAAATAAAATATTAAAAAATAGATTTCAGAGCTAGTGGAAAGCTATAATTAACTAATTAATTACTGTTCTAATTTGTTGGTTAACTTACTGTTGGTAATTTGTCAGGCAGGCCTCTGGAATCAACTTAGTTTATGACTGTCCCTGGGCTTCAAAGAATGAGCCACGTTAAAGCACAGAGAGAGCCAAGGGGACAGGTAGCTATCAGAACAGTGTGAGAAAGAAAGTAAATGAAATCATTGACATTTTTTCCAAAGTAATCAGTCCTCTGGCCTTTTTTTAGGGTTTTCACTGCTCCTTACTACCTTCAGGATAATGCCCAGGCCTCTTTATTTTACATTACTCCCTCTTCAAAAAATTGGCCTCTTGCTGGATTCTCTAAGAGGTGCATCTGTGTTCAATAAAACTTTATTTACAAAACTAGGTTGTTGGCCAAATGTCTGCAGTCAGCTGTTTGCCTACTCCTGGTTTACTCTATGGAACTCTACTATTCTTGGCAAATGGCTTGCATTCTAAAGGTTATCTAAGTAGTACAAGAAACTGCTTGATTTGCCATCAACATGTCCACATTTCAGGTAGGAAGCTGGAAGAGAAGAAAAATGGTTAAAGGAGCTCTTACCAACTGTTTACTCAAATAGAACTTTCCTATAATCCTCACTCAACATTGTTTGCATGTCATTAGCCACTTCTCCATGCAAAGAACCAGAGGAATGTAGTTGTTCAGATGGACCTATTTTCATTCAATAAAATTAGGGTTCTGTAACCTAGGAAGTAAGAAAGACTGGATATTGGGTGGGTTTCTAGAAGTTTCTGTCATAAGTACCAGATTCCCATCACTCAGAGCCATTTTGTGAAGATCAAATGCTCTAACATGCAATTGCTGTTAGGATTGCGCCATGCATACTGTAAACTCTTAACAAAGCTGACACATTGTTGGAATGAGCATTATTTTTATCTATTGTGTATTTTGATCTTTGTTGTATTTCCAGTGCCTAGAATGTTTTCTGGCATACCCATTGGCTCAGTAACAATATTTGAACAAATAAATGAGCTGTCATTATCATCAGTTAAGATGTTTGTGTTGTAGGAAGCAGAAACTGTATCATTTATTAAAAGAATATCACTTGCTTCCAGAAGTGACAAGATAGCTGGAGAGTCAGTCACAGACAAGGACAGGTATCCAATTATTGCTGCAATTATTTAGCTACAACTATTTTTACTCTGTCCTTGAATCGCTCCACTCAACATTTAAAGCTTCATGAGGCAAAGTCTAATGTGCCAAATGTGACTGAATCATTGGTCTCACTTTGGATGAAGAGAACAGGACACCTTGTTTTATAGTTCCACTCAAGCTGCATGTAACTGGTGAGAAGCAAAAATTTAGGATGAAGTCAATATGAAGGATGAAGTCAGCAGGAAGATACTAGGCAGAAGACATAAGGAAATGTCCATCACACATTTCCGTTTCCTTTAGTTTGCATTGCATCCTCGAATGCATGTTTGTGTGTAACAGCATTCCCTTGGAGGGAAGAGAGGCCTAGCAATTTGGCCTGTGTGAACACAACCGTATCTTCATTTTCCAATTAAATAGAAAACTATCACCTTGAAAAACTGAGTGCAGAAACCCTGCACAGATGACATTAACAAGAACAGTTCTCTAAGGTAAAGATGACAGGACAAGACAATGAGCTTCTGGGGCCGATAATGGAGAACAGTAAAAAGATGTAGAAGAAAGGTCAAGGATGACGACCAAAAAAAGGTGCTGTGGATTTAGGTAATGATATCTGCAGAAACTTTCTTCTAATCATACAATGGCGTAAACTCTCTTATTGTTTCTAAATACTTAATTTTCTATAACAATTATATTGCCAGTCTGGGTGATGGCTGAGCAATTGATCATCATCTCGGATAAAGAGTTGAGCCCCTAAGGTTTTTCACTTTGTTTGCCCTTATCAATGTACCACTGCGTATAGATCTGTGACAACCTCGGGGTTTATTGTTAAGCATGAGTCACGATGGGATCATCAACTATCATGCAAATCTGTCATGCATTTGGAATTTGCTTTAATTTGGTAAATTTTATTGGGATTTGAAAAAATTATAAAATAAAACTATTCTCTCTATTTTATTGCTCAAGACAAAATAGTTTATACGATCCCCAAAATTTTGATTTGCATGATTGTGAATATTTGTGTTAGTACTGAACAACATACTAAGACATCGTCAGAAGTATTGTATGTTAGTGAATTGTAAGTGCAGGGAAGCTATAGAGCTGTGTAATCCCCTTTAATGACTTGGATCTAGAATTTTTTTTATATTATGTTTGTTTAGATATTAGAGAATTGATAAAATCAGATCAATAAAAGTGACACTCTTGTCAACTCTTTAAATGTGGAGTTTATAAAGTTTAGCAAAAACAATCTTTTTATGAATCTAGAAAAACATGTTTTTTTACATCTTGTAGCCTTAATATTTATTTCTATGAATTCACATTAGGAAATATATGTAAATACCATTAAAAAGTAAACAAGTAATTAAAAATTGAGCATTATGTAAAATAGAAAAACTTTAAAATATATTATTTAAGAACTAAAAATGCTTAACATTCTGTAATTTGTCAATACTTTCCTTTGAATAATAATGCTAATCTTTTTATCTTTATGTTTCTCTTTTTGCAGTGGTTTAATGTGTTATTGAAACTACAAACTTACAGCCACGGTGGTTTCATGTTGACAGATCGCATATTTTGAAAGCTTGAGGTATTTTATTATAAAACATGCCTGGTGGAAAATTTAAAGCATAGGATTCTGCCAAACACCTGGATAAAGAATTCCTCACCTGGTATGTTAGAGAACTCGACACCATCACCATGACAAACCAGGAAAAGTGGGCCCACCTGAGCCCCTCAGAATTTTCTCAACTTCAGAAATATGCTGAGTGTAAGTATTCATATTAATACTATCATTTTACTTGGCATTTGTGCTAAACAAAGTATGATGATTTACAGAAACAGGTAACAGAGCATGATCAGTATCGGGATAGATGTAGGTATATCTTCTGTGTTTGCAAGTAGTTCGACTGCAAGACTACCTTTTTGGCATAGGAAAAGTAAACTTAAATCAAATGTCAACACTAGAAGAAAAGGAACTAGGATTCTAGATGCAAAACTAAACTTGAAAACACTTCACCTGTAATAGAAGTGAAGCAAAGCATAACACAGCCTGGGGGAATGGAGACTGGCAAGATGGGAGCCCAGAAGAAGAAGGAGAAGACAGGACTAAGGAAGTAAAAGGAGAAAAATAAATGGTGTTATTCTTGAGTCAACAGGACCTGATTCATAGACATTGGGAGGGAAGGGAAATCAGAGATGTTTTTCCTGTTTCTCAGACTAGTATTTCCAAAAGGACCACAAATTGGGAGTCATAGATGCATTGTGGAGTTGGCTTTAAGGGTTGTAAAAAAAGAAGAAGAAGAAGAGCTGCCAAGACCTTAGGACAACTTGTTTAGTGTGCGTATTTATAGAAAAGATATAGTGGTGTATTTTTAAATATTAAATTTCTTTATAGGTACACAATAGGATTTTGTTTATGAAAAGTTTGTTTTTATCATAGATTTCCAGGAATATGTCTATTTCATGAAATGAGTTTCAGCTATTTATATATACATATATGTATATATATGTTTGTGTCTGTGCGTGTGTGTGTGTGTATAGCAACTAGGTCAAAGCATCGAAGAGAAAAAAAGAAACAACTAATAAATAGGAGACACTAAAAGATTTGGAAGATGATAAATTGAGAAAAAGTAATCCATAATAAGAACATAATAAGAATGGTGAGAGTGAAGGGGATAACATGATATTGGGAGAATAAAATGCAAGAAATCGAAAGAGAAAAAAAATAATAGCTCATAATAATTAAAAAAGCAAAAACTGAAGCAACTGGTGGCGGTAAGGCACAGAGGAGTTGTGGGATGTAGAAGACAAGTGTTGGGAATAATGTGAATAATGTGACAGAGAGGCAGAGAAAATGGTTAGACACAGATGAGGGATTTGGAATAATAAATAAATATGATGATAATAATGAATAATAACGTATTCACATGCTACATATTATGAGTCAGGAAGATTAATAGACAGTGCATGTTGTTGAAAAATCCAACCTTCCAGGTTTTCTAGAGCTTTCCCAACTTGAAGGCTGTAGCACTCTGGGTGAGGGTTTAAGAATGCTGCCGAGCATTTACCAGGAAGTCACAAAACCATAAGAACATGTACGTATTTTTTAGTCAATAATAATAAAAGTAAAATTATCATATGGAAGAGGTAGGTGTAATATTTTTAAAAAACATTTTATTTATTTGTTTTTAGACAGGGGAAGGGAGGGAGAAAGAGAGGGAGAGAAAGAGCAATGTGAGAGAGAATCATCCAACCACTGTCTCTCGCATGTGCCCAGACAGGGATTGACCCTGCAACCCTGGCGACCCTCCAAGCTGTGGGACTACACCCAACCAACTGAGCCACACTGGACAGGGTGGGTGTCGTAAATATCTGACATCAAAATGTTCTCCTCATACTCAAAAACTGTTTTGAGTCACTGAAAGTACAATTCATTCATTTATCACATAAAGAAAATTTAGCCCAGGCTGGTTCATTTCTTGTCTACATCCTTATAATCAATAATTTCTAAATTGTCTAAAAATGATTTACCTATGATTTCCAATTTCTATATTCTCTTTGCATTATATCCAAAATTAAGTAAATATTTCTGAGCATCTTCTTTTGGGACAGTATTCTGCTTGATGTTGCAAGAAATGCAAATATGAACAGATATGGACCATGCCTTCAAGGAATTTACATTTTAATGAAGGCTAAAACTAACAGACTGTTATTTCTAGGCAGAATATTGTAAGTGCCACATACAAATTTGGGGGTTCTCTAGGGCTTAAGTATTCAATTTGAGGTGGAGAAAGGGAAGTATTCATGGAAGAAGTAGGACTTAAGATAAATCTTGAAATATAGTTTTAAGGGAAGTGAAGAAGAAAATGATATAGATCTAAAAGGATATTCAGCATATTGTTGAGGAAGAGAGATGAGCCATACCACAAGTTAAAAGAGGACGTGCACTTAAGATTATAAAAATGACACGGAATCAACATACACAATGCTAAACTTGAGTTAGGCAGTAAGGAGGAATAGTAAGGTTTTCGGGGTAGAGTGACATACACGATGCTATCCTTCAGAAGGTTTAACTGAAGAACTCTGAGAACGGTATGTGGTAATGGAAAGAGACTAGAGTTGGGCCAGTGGGCTACTGTAGTAAACTAAATAATATGGATGAGTGATGAAAAAAGACCAGAAAGGTGGAGATTCAGATGAAGGCTAACAGAGGAGAAATTGGGAGATAACAAAACAGGGGAATTGAGAGCTAAAGATGGATGGGGGATTTTAGTGACATAATCCCCCAAGTAAAGAAAACAAGATATTTGATTTAGGTTTGTTGAACTTGGCTTGATTATTTAAATATATTTTCCAGTGTTTGGGTGTTTATAGGAAAAAATCCTTATCAGAAACATGAATATAAAATAGGTAAATTATTGCCATGACAGCTAAAATATCATTTATAATGGCTGTAAATTAAATATTTCAAATTTCCTTTGAATTGGTAAACAGAATTTAATACTAAAATCTTATATATATCATAGGCTATTGTTTTTTATGGAATATAGGGAGTATATTTAATTATGATGTAAGAAAGGTTGATTTAATAATCAGCTTCGGAAATGCCTAAGTAATAAAAACTGTCATAAATATAAAAGTTGTAACACTGAAACAAAGATGAATGAATATTCAGTAAGTTGGTAGCAAGAAGTAACATGGTGAGTGTAAGAACATTATTAAAATGGATTTTATGAGAAGATGCATTGACCGATTAACATTGAATAAAAAATCATAGTGCTGCTTCTGTGATCTCTTGACTTACTATTTTTTTGAAAAATAACAAAGACTACATAAAAAGTGTGAGACTTAATCCTCCGTGACAGCAATTTTCAATCACTGTGCCACAAGAATTTTTTTTTTAAAGTAGGACACTTTTATTTTTTTAATCTCTCTTTTTTTTTAAGATTTTATTTTTTATTTTTAGAGAGGGAAGGGAGGGAGATAGAGAGAGAGAGAAACATCAATGTGTGGTTGCTGGGGTTCATGGCCTGCAACCCAGACATGTACCCTGACTGGGAATCGAACCTCCGACACTTTGGTTTGCAGCCCGCACTCAATCCACTGAGCTACGCCAGCCAGGGCAAGAAGTTTTAAAAACATGCAATACCTGACTATTTAGTCAGGAGCACTGACCTTAAACTGTCAAATAATAAAATGACAACAACCAACACAACAATAACCATCTGGTGTGAGTGAGTCAAGATTACACCTATTTTTTTTCCTAAGCTTGACAAAAAAAATCTAATATATTTTTTGGTGTACTACAGAATTTTAGTAATAGGTTTGTGTACCATGAGATGAAAATGGTTGAAAATCGCTTCTCTGTGAAGTTTCCTGTGTAATTAGGAAGCAAGGACTATCATGATTAAAATCCATCCTCGCGTCATAAGTTTCCATTGTCAAGACATAACTGGAAACACACTTATCATCCTGAGGATGATAACAGTGGTGTACTTTTCCTTGCTGTTCAGTACACATGATCTGTTTATCTGCGGTGTTTAAGGGTCCGATTTTTCATATTGCAGTGCAGTCCTGGTAAAGTGACATTCATCTGTGCTCTTCATAAAAGTGGTCTGTTGGATGTGCTATTTAGATGTCAGTTTGTATCTTTTAATGAGCAATTGTTTATATGTAGTAGATAATTAAGTTAAAAACAAGTTATTGATTTAAGTATTCACTTGCAACATAGTAAGATTATATCAAGCAAGTGCTGTATATACTTTTGAGGGATGGGTGAAGCTGTGGAACTCTAGGTCAAGTTAAATGAGTTCATGGAACCCCTACCCCAGCAAAAACCAAATTATTCAAGTTTAACCTAGAATATTATTTTCTTATGTTGTCTGAGTTGGGGTTTTCTCTATAGTTGCCACAATATGCCACATGCATGCTGCTATAACAAAGTACCATAGATTGGGTGACTTATATAAACAACAGAAATTTATTTCTCACAGTTCTGGAGGCTGGAAGCCTGGGATCGGGTGCCAGCATGGGTGCCAGCATGGTTGGGTACTGACAAGGGTCTTCTTTTGGGTTGCAAGAGGTCAAATCCTTTTTGTGTCCTCACATGGTGGAAAGAGCAAAAGGGGGCAGTGAGCTCTCTGGGGACTCACTAACCCAGTCACTGCATCCGAACCCCACGTCCATAACCTCTCTAACCCCAAAGACCCTCCCCCCTGGGGGTAAGGTTTTAATGTATTCATTTAACATATAATGAACATAGTCCATTATACCCTGCAACTACGATTGACGTCTCAACTTCTAGGCTGTTTTCATGATGAATTGGGTACACAGAGTGATTTTGGCACAGCTTTCCTGATTGGGCAGCTAGCACATCAGATGGCTTGTGTCCAAATCCTGGTCCTACCATATTTTAGGTTTCTGACTTTGGGAAGTTACTTCACATCTCTATATCCCATTTTTTGTACTTGAGAAATGGGGAAAACAATAAAAACGTCAAGTGTTGTAAGTATTAAATGACTTAATATATGCCAAGTAATAAGAAAATTGCCTGGCCAATTATTTATGATGTAACTGTTCATTGTTTTGCTAGAGAGGGAGTGAGTTTGTTATGTTGGCTGTTGGAACATATTGTTGATAGTCAAGTAGAAAAGTGCCACATTTTGGAGTTTGGGTCAGTGTCTTATTTTCTGTTACAAGACTGGATTCTTTGCATGAGGTAGAAGCTGCTGGTGCTAGTGGCAGCTTGGGGTCTGTGTTGTCCCCACA